ATGAATTGAGTTTATATATTTAGTAGTGTTTTATGTATTTGTGTAACAATAATTAAAACTAGTCCAGAGGCCATTAATTTGATATAAATAAAAGTGGAGGTGGGAAGGGGAAATGGTGTAATTATAATAATCTCAAAAAATAAAAATAAAATAGTTCAAGAAGTCAAAAAATGTTTCAAATCAAACAATGTGCTTTTAGTATTCACAACAATGTTTATATTGGGTGCGGTTCATTTTAAGAGGTTGCTGTGGTTAGGAATGGTAGTGCAATTGGAGGTAGAGGCAATTGGAACTCTGTGAATTCAAGACAAGCCTGATTTACATAGTGAATTCTAGGACAGTTTGGGATAGACCGTGGGGCCCAATCTCAAAAAACAAATCAAAACAGCACATACACACATACAGGCTAACCTAAACCACAAAGGATTAACTATGGATCACAGTGTGTGTGTGTGTGTGTGTGTGTGTGTGTGTGTGTGTGTGTGTGTGTGTGTATGTGTGTGTTGGTATAAGTTCACACATTTTCCTTAAAAAGCAAACATTTATGCTTAGAGTCTATCTGTAGTGTCAAAGCAATTTAAGTTCATGGTCTGAGTGAGCCATGAACCTCGCTCTGCCTGTTTCAAAGTCTTTACACTGCCTATTGACAAGAGGCTTCCTTTCAGATTCTTTTCCAGTGCTATTAAATATGTACCTCATGTGTGCCTGGGTTGTCTCCTGTTGTATTTTCTTCATGAGCAATTCATAGAGTATTCTCTGCTGTGATATTACTTTCCCTTATACACTCAGGGAAAGCCTTCCCCACTCAACAGGGCTTTTGAGCCTTGACTAGAGCACTTCAAAAATAGGTGTAGTTTATATTTTTATAAAAACAAGTGATGTCTGGACAACTTCCAGGTTGGAACAGCATAGATATTGAGCCTCTCTGCGGCAAGCTTTGCTGAAGAAGACACAAATGTAGCATTCAGTTCCCCACTCAGAAAGATCAGGATGTGTTAACCTTGCTTTGCTGAAAGAAAAGTTGCTGTCTTGTGTAAAGAGGCTGGCATGACTGGAAGAAAAGGCTTGTGGCAGGTGGAAGTAATGATGTAGGGATTAGAACTCAGGGTGCTTTGGGCTTTGGTGTCTTCCATCTACAGTCCTGCAAGGAGATTAAGACGGAATTTTCTTTTTTGTTGTTGTTAATGGGAAATGCTGACAGCTCTTATGTGTATTTGGAAAATAATTGAAATAATAATTGAGAATTGTCATGGGAAGAAGTTTGTCCTCATGTGACACCTAATGTAGTTTTTGATTGCTTGACAAGAAGCTGGGTGCCTCATCTCTTTTCCCAAGTATGCCAGGTAGAGCTGCCTTCTTGCATTCAGGTGGGAAGAATCAAGCTCAGGGTGGGTCTGGTAGAATGTGGGGTCTCTGCTTTGTTGGATAACAGTTTCATCACAGGTGATTTGTTCAACCAATTAGTGACAAAAGTAGTAGATTTCCCCACCCCATCATGTTTCATGTCCCCTGGTGGGCTAAGAAAGAAAGTGTGCCATGGACTTACATTCAACATTGGTTTGTGTTTTCTATTATCTTTCTATTCTTTTCCTCTTTTGTGAATGGTGTGTGGGTATCTGTTCAGGTGAATGTATGGGTATGCATCCCATGGTATACACTTGAGGTAAGAAGGCAGTCTTGGCTGTTGGGTCACACATTGTACCTACCTTGTTTGAGACAGAGTCTTGTTTGCTTCTATGTGTGCTGGAACAACAGATACACATTGCTGCATATCTAGCTTTACGTGAGTTCTGGGGAATCCTAGCTGAGGTCCTCATTATTTTATGGCAAGCACTTTATATACTGAGCCACCTCCCTAGCCATCTCCTTTCTTTCTTGACAGTGTTTGACTTCAAGTATAAGACTGTGCTTTGGAGTATAGGTTTTGAGAGCAGATAGACCATGAAGTGTCTGTGCTTCTTTGAAAAACCATAATGGAAACATTAGCGTTGTTTATTCACGTATTAAACAGAGCTGTTTAGTACCTTCATTAGAATGGTTACAGAGACCACATGATAAATGTAGGTAGACATAACAAATACTTAGCAAGTTTTCAATAAATTATCATAGCAGATAATCTCTCCTACCTAAATCATGTTTGGTACTAGGGAATTCCAAATTGGCAGAAATGAATATAATACCATTTTTGTATGAGTTTTTTCCCATTTTCCTTTATTTATTTTTTAATTGAAAATAAATCTTTGTTTCCTTTTTGAGACTTGTTTTCTTTATTAGCCTTGGCTGTTTTGGAACTCACTCTGTGGACTAGTCTGGCCTCTAACTCATGGACCTCTGCTTGCTTCTGCCTTGTAAGTGCTGGAATTAAAGGCTGGCTGAAAATAAAAAAAAGTATACAATATATTCTGGTCATACTTTCCCCCTCTCCAAACTCCTCCCAGACTGTCAATACTTCCTCAGTTACCCAAATCTATACCCTTCCTTCCTTTCTTCCTTCCTTCCTTCCTTCCTTCCTTCCTCCTTTCTTTAAAAAAATGAAAAAACAAACTAAGAAACACACACACACACACACACACACACACACACACACACACACACACACACACACACACGCTGTTCAAAATGGAAACAAAAATATACAAGCAAAGCAAAAGATCAGTAAGATAAAAATGAAGCAATATGAGACAAAAAAGTCTAGAAAAATACCATTAAGTTTGTTTTGTATTGGCCAATTACTCCTGGGCAGGAGGCCTACCCAGTCTGCATTAGAGAAACTAATTTTTCTTTGCAAGTATATGTCAATTGCACATAGCTTCTTGGTTAGGGGTGGGAGCTCTTGTCCACTTCTCCTCTCAGTTCTGGGACCCTGTCTGGCCAGAAAATATGAAGGCCCTGCATGTGCTGCCACAGTCTTTGTGAATTCATATGTGCATCAGTTCTCTTGTATCTGGAAGATGCTGTTTCCTTTGAGTCATCCATTACCTCTGACTCTTATCTTTCCACTTCCTCATCTGCATTGATCCCTGAGCCTTGAGGGGAATGGTTTAATGAAGACATCCCATTTTTGGTTGAGTGCTCCAAAGCCTTTTACTCTCTACACATTGTCCAGATCTGTGTGTCTGTGCCAGTTCCCATCCACTGCAAGAAGATTCTCTGATGATGGCTGAATGAGATATTGATATATGTAGCTATAGCAGAATATCATCAGGAATTATTTTCTTGTTGTGTTTCCCTATGATTGCAAAATCATAGTATTTGGTTTTCCCTTGGGCCTGTGAACTCTGCAGTCTCAGGTTCTTGAATCTCATGGCATGGGCCTTAAATCCAATCAAAGAGTGATTGGGTACTCCTACAACTTTTGTGATACTTTTGTGCCACTATTGTACCAGCATATCATGCAGGCAGGTCACTGTTGTATGTTCCAGGGTTTGTGGCTGGATAGGGGTTTACCTTTCTTCTCTGGTAGCATTCAGAGTACCATGAATGCTAATATACTTCTAGTGCCATGAATACTAATATACTACTAATTTTAGTTCCTTAGCGGGATCCTGAAATTGAGCATATTCCCTGGGAGACCTATGAAAAATTTTGTTTGTTTCTTTTTAAAGTAAAATTTTTATTATTATTGCATGCATGTTTGTGTGCACCTGTGTGATGCGCATGTGAGGACGTGGATGTGCATAAGCCACAATGCATATGTACCAGCGTGCACATGTGGGAGCCAGAAGGACAACATATGGGAGTTGTCTTTCTAGTTCTGCTATGGAATTTGGGGACTGAACTGCTTTTACACACTGAACCACCCTGCAGGTTTTACATTTTGTTTTTAATATACAATGATATAGTTTGGAGAAAGTGAGTTGCAGAATTCCAACAAGATAGGTGGCCTGTGTTCCTCCCACATAATCCTATATGTAACTGAATGTCAGAAGCATATCTATGAACAAGGTTTAATGGGGCAAGGCTTCCAAAGTTACATTGCATTTAAGTTAGGGAAGTATTTAGTAGCTATTTGCCATGTACTCACCATGACCCTGGCACAGCTTTCAGAGAGTTAATAGTTTAGCACAAATTGTCTAGGGGTGGGGAGAGGGCTCATTGGTCAGCCCTTGCTGACTGAAGTTCAATACCCATATTAGATGGCCTACAACGACCTGTTGCAGGGAATTTGAAGCTTCTGGTATCTGTGGGCTCTAACAAACATCCATATTCCCACAACTCTCCATATACACAACTAAAAATGAATGAATAAATAAATAAATAAATAAACCAATAAATAGAATTTAACAAAATGATAAAAGCTCAGAAACTTGGTACTTTAAGCTTTAGTTTTTACCTTGTTTTTCTTCTTCTTTTTTTTTTTTTATAATTTATTTAACTTTATTTTATGTGCAATGGTGTGGAGGTGTCAGATCCCCTGGAACCAGAGACATAGACAGGTGTGATCTGCCATATGGGTGCTGGGAATTGAACCTGGGTCCTCCAGAAGAGCAGTCAGTGCTCTCAACCACTGAGCCATATCTCCAGCCCTTATCTTGTTTTTCTAAGGAAAAAAATAACATGAAAAGTGAATTGATATAAGACAGGAACTTTCTTGGACTCTTACTTGGGCAAGGCCATTTGAGTGGTGGTGAAGAATTTGGGTTTGAGTCTTGGTTTTGTTATACAGTCCTCCCTTGTTGTCTTGGCCAGTTATTTTACTTTGTGCCTTAGCATCCTTATCCACATCATTAGGACACTGACATTATTAAGGGTTATTAAAACTACCTGAGGTAATTCACTTCATTCAGTGCCTAGTACTTCAGTGTTTGCTATTAATTTTATCTCTTTCAAAGCCAGGAGGATTTCCTGTATGGGTATTAGCTAATTAAATTGCTCAAAGTGAGGCTGCCTCAGGCCTATGTGACCTTCAGTAGCTGCAAAATGAAGGCTTTAAAACATTATTTTAAAAAACAATCTATTTATTTATTACTGATGTTGTCCCCTTACCCCTTTGGTTTCAGTATCCAGGATTCCATACTGAAAGATCAGAATCTGACCATGACAGCCAGTGGGGTGGAAGTCCACTGACTGACGCTGCCTCCCCCCAGCTCCTGGACCCAGAGAGGCCTGGCTCTCAGCATGAAGTGTCCTGCGCCTACAGGCAGTTCCCCGATCGCAGCTCTCTCTGCTATGGCTTTGCACTGGACCATTCCAGGCTGGTGGATGACAGGCACTTCCACACTCAAGCCTGTGAGGGAGGCCGCTGCGAGGCAGGCAGGTACTTCTTAGGTGCACCACCAACTGGGAGAGATCCCTGGTGGGGCTCTAGAGCAACCTTGCCTCTTACCAAGGCCTCACCAGAGAGTAGAGAAGCCTATGAGAACAGCATGCCGCATATTACCTCTGTCCACAGGATCCATGGTAAGAGCTTGAGGGATACCAGATCCCCAACAGGAGGCTGTACATTAGAGTGATGCTCCCCAGTGGTTTTATACCTTTGATCTACAGAACCTCACACCAGTGGAATTTTAAGAACTAAGTCCATTCAGCTTAAGTGTTATTTTGGTAGTGTTAGCGTATTTATGACAGATGAGAAAAAAAAGTCATTTTAAAAATAATAAGGAAGTTAAGTATCAGCAATTTGTAAGTCTATTAAATTTGTAGCTATATTTGAATTTTGCAGTGTTATTCTCCTCAGTAACCTCACAATGGCTGCCCAACAGTGAGGGTGTTTGATATGTTGGACAGGTCAGTCTTTGCTTAATAGACTTTGTGCATACATGTGTTGCTTTTCTAGGAAGCAAGTTCTGGTACCTGTCTCCCATCACCATGACAACCAAAATATCACCTTGAAAAAGGTGGAGAAACCACCTGGATTTTCCACTTGGGATAGTTAGTTACATAGCTTCATTAGCCCAGAGAAAGGAACACTAGTGTTAAAGCTTTGATAATTGGTAATACTTTCTTCAAACTAAATTGTTCCATAAATTACAAAGTAAATTACTTTGGTAATTACTTTCTTCAAAGAAAATGAGTTAAGAAAAGTATATCCTGTTCATTCTAAGTGCAGCTCTGGGCAGGTCTTTGATAATCTCCCTGTTTTATTAAGTCACTGACATTATGAAGATCCTGCTAATTCTCTCCCTGCTCTTAGCATGAGAAATGTGCTAGACCATGTCTTCATCTACAAAGTTCCCTGACAGATACTTCCATGAGCAATTTTAACTTCTTTCCATTGTTGCTTTTTATTTTTCTGATTTCCTCTGAGTAAACAACTTGTTAAGAACCAATGAACATTTTGGTAGTCTGGAAATGGAAACCCAGGGCAAAGAGCAATTCCTTGCTAGATATAGATGAGAAGCAAAACTTAACCTATATAGAAAACATTAGAAATGAAACGTTAGAAATGAAACGAGAAAAGAGAAAAGAGAAAAGGAAGCAACAGTCTATGATACAGGGCTCTTTAACGTTAAGCAGTCTTCACAACTTATATGTCCCTGTCTTCTTTTAGTTTTGCCTTTTATATTTATTTCAGGCAGAATCATTCAATTTCTGAAATACATTTTGAATTCATTACTCTTCAGTATTAGACCTGCCTTCCTAGTTCAGAATAAGCTGTTATAAAAATGTTAATATTTATTTATTCAAGACTGTTTGAATAATGATAGGAGTTCTGTTTCAGAAATAACCAAAGTTTCCATTGTTACCTCTGATGCTAACGTGGTTACCTTGCTGTTAATAACAAAGTATTTATTCTTTTGATTATGACAACATATCTCTACAGCTATGTCACCTATCCACCCACATACCCATATACAAATATTTTCATCAATTCACAGTTTTTAAAAAACTAACATTAGAGTTTCAGTGTAATTCCATTTAAGATAAATTGAGAATTATTAAAAAATTTCAGTGACTTATTTAAAATATAATAGTTCAGCTTATACAATTGTCTTCTGTAAATTCAACTGAAAACATTTTTCTAATAACAAAAACCAAATTGTATTCATCTTCCTCATATTATTTGTAGCTGTATAGACCCATGTATACAAAGAGAAATGTGAATGTACTTTACTGCTTTACTAATTAACATTCACAACTCATGAATGAAGTTTATCCAAGAAACATTTTTTAAATGTTACATGCAATTGAAACCGATTGTATACATATGAAACAAACATACATCTGAATTTTAGTACAAATGTCAATATTCTTTCATATAGGTCTGTTTTAATTTCCAATATTTCATTAAAATGAAAGATATAAGATTTTTTTCTAGGAAAGAAATGCACTTGTGTGTGTGAATTTTGACACTACCTACTTTTTACTTTTTATGATGTAGGTCGAGGTCACTGGGATGAAGATAGTGTGGTCAGCTCTCCAGACCCTGGGTCAGCCAGTGAATCAGGTGACCGATACCGCACTGAACAATATCAAAATAGCCCACATGAACCTAGCAAAATTGAGACTCTTATAAGAGCCACACAGCAGATGATTAAAGAGGAAGAGAACAGATTACAGCTAAGGAAAGCTCCTCCAGACCAACTGGCTTCCATTAATGGAGCTGGTAAAAAACACTCCCTCTGTTTTGCAAACTATCAACAGGCACCACCAGCAGGGGAAGTATGCCACACCTCTGCTCTTGCCAGTACTTCACCATGTGACCATATCCAGCAGAGAGATGGAAAGATGCTCAGCCCTCATGAAAATGACTATGACAACAGCCCCACTGCACTGTCTCGGATAAGTAGTCCCAGTTCTGATCACATTACAAAGTCCAGTTTGATCTTGGCTAAAGACTATCTACATTCAGACATGTCTCCTCACCAGACAGCAGGAGACCATCCTGCCATTTCTCCAAACTGCTTTGGCTCTCACCGGCAGTATTTTGATAAGCATGCCTATACATTAACTGGATATGCTCTGGAGCATTTATATGACAGTGAAACTATTAGAAACTATTCGTTGGGATGCAATGGCTCACACTTTGATGTAACTTCCCATCTGAGGATGCAGCCAGACCCAGCACAAGGACACAAGGGAACATCTGTTATAATAACCAATGGAAGCTGATGTTTTTCTAAGATATTTTGTTCTTCAAGGATTGATCTCTGAAGCATATTTATATTTAGCAGCATTTACTATGCCACAGATTGTGAGAAAGCCTAAGTTAAAGTTTCTGGCTATTTGTTGTGAGTTCCCATGAAATAAAAAAAATAATACAAAACAAAACAGTACCAACATTCAGGGTTATACACAGACAATTGAGCTAAATTGAATACAGAAATTGCCAACATATTATAGTGGAACCATAAGAGATATATTTAAATTGAAAATTACTAACACAAATTAAGCATATATGCCACTTGGGAGGGCTGATGAATGAAAACATTGTGTCCTGACAATCTAATAGAATTCATACACATAGACCTTATGCTATTCACAAACTGCTATGTACACTTCCCATGCATAAATACACAAAATGGGTACTTTTCCTTACCTACCACATAAAGCTTCTTAAAGAAATACCAGTTTCCAAAAACAACTAAAGAAGAGAGGGATATGTCTTGTAAACCAGTTTCTTCTTCTTCTTCATGCTTTTAAACTAGTCCACTGGCTACAATACATGAATGCATTCTCAGTTGATACCCACTACAAGCATCAGGAAGGAGTGATTTCCCACCTTATTTTGAGTTAGACATGGACCAGGATTGCATTGACACAACAGTAAAGATCTTTCTAAGTCACAGCATTGAAATATTGGGAGACACATAAAAAATGGAGCCTACTCAATTTTAAGTGCTTTAGTGAAGGAAAGGGCAAAGCGGCATAGACTGATACTAAATCTCAAAACAACTTTTAAGGCTGAGAGCAGGTAAACAACATTTTGGCGGCCAGTGTACAAAATACACAAATAAGAGTTTTAAGCCAGTTCACCCAGACAAAAATGAGATCTGTAAACTATTATAGGACAACAGGATAAGTACTTAAAAGTATTTCAAAGTATGCTATCATGTGACAAACCTCATAAGAGTGTAAGATAAAAGGTTAGGCAGATGGACAAGTGGTTCAAAGGGTGCATGTGGAATTCACAGGGAAAACGTGACTTAGCTTGCTGTTTGTAAACACTGAAAACAACATACTTGCTCATATGTCCATGAGGTACAATGAAAAGTCCAGTGGACTAGTTGCTAAGATCTCTGGGTTTTTAATTCTGCTGTTGCCTGCATCTTGGTTTTCTGGTCTTAAAGGCGGCTCTTGTTCATGGTTCTGTGATTCATTGATGCAGTGGAAGTAAACTTGTGAACAGTTAAATCTTCGCCATGAGTTTTCAAGACTTAGTGGTTCTGGATTTTCCATACACTCAGAGGTCTAGATACTTTGCTACTTCAGCAATGTGTGGGCTCTTTCAGGCAGGGAGAGTTATAGTGGACTCTCTCTTAGATGCAGCCAAATGTAGAGAGTAGAAATTTATGAGGCAGAAGAAAAAATAATAAAATTTACTTAATGCACTATTCTTTAGTATTCAAAGAAAAATAACATGCGTGGTTAGAAAAGTTTGATAGGTAATATTTTTAGGATTCCCATGCCTGTTACTTTTGCCATATTTAAGGAGGAGAATGTACTGGAAGCACTTGATGATTATGAAATCATTACATGGCATTGAACACTCAGGGATCAGTACTGTATTTTCATCACTCAATACAATCATTTGGTGACAGTCTGTGTGTCAACAAATTGAGAGTTGTTTGTATATGAGAGAAGAGGCTACATAAAACTAGCTACTTGAGTAAAACAGAACAGTATTATCAATGAAAGTGAACACAGGATCAAGTCACTGAGAAAATAGCTTATGTACTTAAATATACTTTCACAAATGTTTAAAGAACAATGAAAACTAAAATTTGATCTCCATAAGAAAAATATTCAGTAATTTTGAGAAAATCATTTCTGAGAAACACACAGCCAGGATAGATGATTTGGATAAAATTTCAACATGAGAAATGTTTTCAGAATGGTATTGGTTTTGCAGAACTCTGTAGATCAGACACAAATATTTGAGGAATATGTGTTTTGGGCAGAAAAATATATACAAGTAGGTTCTAATGTTGGGTAGATATACATTAGTGCATCAGAGGTACCTTCTGTAAGAAATAGAAAGAAGAGCCTAGGAAAATGAACTGATGCTAAAGAGAGGGTTGTCACTAAAGGAATGGCAGCAGAGTTTTTAATTTGGAGGATATAACTCATTCAAAAATAAATTGTGAACTCCACAGACAAAGCCTCATAAGGAGGAGCAATGCTTCCCAGAATTCCAGAAATAAAAATTTTTAAACAAAGACAGAATCTTCTAAATTATATTTTGATTAACAATCTTGGTAGATTGACCCATTTAAAATACATTAGTCATTTATTTAATTAAACAAATGTCAGTTTTGAAGTGGCAATTTTACAATATTGCATATAATGCCTATAGACTCACAATATATATAGCTTACATTGTTTTGCAGCATGGCATGATTATTATAAATGACCCAAAATGAATTGATCTTTTAAAACTAGGTGGCTTCTTACTGTTCATATAGATTTATAAAATGCATTTGTATTCTACGTTATTTTGTTCTGTACAGGAACATATTTGCCCATAAAGAATTATCATCGGTGTCTTAAAAATATGGGATGTAAAATAAATACATTCTCAATAACTTAATCAATTAAAATTAAACTAAAATTGGCTTTAGTTTTAATCCTTAACTTTCCTATCTTTGCTAAAAATTTGAAAGCCTGAGAAGCATGTTTCCTTTTTCACTTTGGGAATTCATAACAATGTTATATCTAATTTTATCACTACAGCATGCACAGTTCATTAGTATCTACAAAGCCCATTCTATCTGGAAATAGTAAGAATATATCTGGTACCCATTTACTTCCTTTACCAAGATAAAGGTTAAAATTGTAGATGAGCAATGAAATATATATTTCCCCAATCTTCCTTGTGAAAATTCTGTTAAAATTATTGTTGACAACATACAGTTGATATATTCTTTTTGAATGTGTTTTTAAGGTCAGAGACAATGTAGATCATTTATGTATGCTCTGGCACCACAAATCTTTTGACATCACTTGCAAAATCTAATGTGACAGCTTTTAAAACCGTGCTTGCCTGTATAAGACACTATGTCAAAACTGATAGGATATTTAAAACCAGACAAGATGTGATAAACAATTTCTTCAGTATTCATATGGAAAGATATAGTTTACAGGGCTAGAATATTTCCAGCGAGTACTATTCTTAATGCCTGCACTCTGCTGTCACATGCTGCCTTTGAGCAGAGAATTTCACTTAAAATAAGCTTGAATGGGATTTCTTCAAAAGGATAATATGTTCTATTTCCATTTCTTTTTAATGTGAACTTTAATTCTAATACAAGATTACTTGGAAAGTATGAATAGACTTTTTGAAATAAGACAGAAGCCCCCCTCAAGATCTAGACTGTGTAAGTGATAGTATAGCTGGAAACACTCTGAATACAGATTTTCTATTTTATAACTCTGCCTCTTGCTTTGTATCTCTTGTCTGTTTCTCTTTATCGGAACCAGCTAATAATTAAGCTATTTGTATGATTTATTAGTGCTAGAAGTAATTGAGAGTGACAAGGTGAAAGCTGAGGACTTGACTGGGAATCACTTATCTTTCCTGGAATAGGGTGGCACAGTCCTTGTTGAAAAAAAAATGAATATCTGGATTTGGCTTCTTAGTTCACTCAAATGGTAGATGTAGACACATATCCAATTTTTCTGAATGACTTGACAAAGAATGTAAGTCCTCCAATAAGTAATTGAGCATTCATGTAAATGTCAGATTTTTGTGAGTAAGGACTTCACTGTAGAGAAACATCTGTTGACTAGCTCTTACTGTTAAAATATATGGTGGATAAAACATTCTAAATTTTAAGTGAGTGACACAACAGCTTTGGATACATGCAAGTGTATCATAAATAGGAAATGTCCTTGGGGGAAAGTTTTGTGTGGTGCTTATTTGTTGTGCATAAAGGTTGTATGGGTAGTGCTTAAATTCAAAAGGTAAGATGACACTCAATTCCATATAGACACTTATTCAGCATTCCTTCTCTGAGACTGTGTGAAGAACACACACACACACACACACACACACACACACACACACTGACTTTTATATTACTTTGAGAATTTATACATGTACTATATCCAATGTGAATGTATGATGATTCACACAAGAAATTCTAATTCATAATTTTAAACTAATCACTGTAGTTTTATTTACAGGAATTTGCTGTGTAAACTTTGCCTTCATTAACTAGGTAACAGGACTTTGTCCTAATCTGATAATCTTAGACACACCTAGTCAAATTAAATTTCTACTCAATAATTATGTGTTTACATTTTAAAAGAATGAAATTGGAATGGAGAAATATTTCCAGTAACTGTAACTTCTTTTCAAAGGAATAGACTTCAAAAAAGAGAAAGAAACAAGAGGCACATCAAGTATGATAAAATATTTTATGCTTGGTTTGACTGACATGCTAGAAAAAGGATTATATTTGTGAGAAAAGATTCTGGTTCAAAATACCCTCTTGCAATGTATAGTTTTTAGTGATATTGTAGTATAAACTTGTAATTTGAACTTTTACTTTGGAATGTAAAGTAGAAAATAATAGCTATGTCAATGATATCTTGCAAAGTGTTCCCATTTATAATTATTTATATTGTAAATAGCTTTCTGAAGTAAAATTGAGATTAATGTCCATAAAATGTATTTATTATGTGAGGAACTTTTGGTTTAAAATATAGTTACCTACATGCAGTTTGAGTCTGAATTATTCATTGAAAGAAGAATCTTTACAAGACAAAACAGATTTGTCAGCTAGATTGATGTTCTACAGACAGCCATTTTAGCTCTTGATTTGGTTAGGTTGCTCAACTCTCTACAAACATACCTTGCACAGAGACCCAAAAGCAGAAACTTGAGCACACACAGTAACTACTCCACAAGGTGTCTATTTTGTTAGACCCCATGTTAGACCTCATGTGCTTTGAAGAAAATGTGAGTTCCTTAAATAATCATAAAATAGAATATTCCCTGCT